TAATTAAAAAAGTTGAAAGTGTTTACAAAACAAATGCACCAGCCGGGAATCGAACCCGGGTCTGTACCGTGGCAGGGTACTATTCTACCACTAGACCACTGGTGCTAATTGATTTGGATACTAGTACTGTCAGTATTTAACTTTTTAAATGAACAATAAAATCACATTTTTTAAATTTTATAAAGAAAAAAAAAAGGCTGCTGTAATAAAATGGGGGTCAACGCCCCCAATCAGAATTTGGGGCAGTGATCACCCAATTTGGATGAAGTAGTTCGGCCCAATTGAATAAATTCCTGCTGATGGATCACTTTTTATTTGTATCATCGAACACGAATTTGTTGGGCTCCATTTTCATATATTTTAGTTAATGGTTATATATAATTAAGATGGTGTTTCCAAATGATTATTTAAAAACAGAAGTTAGTGATAATGAGTTAAGTTAGCTTTAAGTCTTATTTCTAATAGTTAGGGGTGTTTGCAAATATTCTGGAAAATGAACTTAAAGAGAAAAGCAGGGCTAGGAGTGCTTTTAAAAAAATAGCTTAAAGCAGATTATTTTAAGAGAAGCAAAAAACATAAGTTGATTTTGCAAACACCTGAAAACAGATTATGAGCAAAAAATGCTCATAATCACTTTCAAAAAGCGTTTGCAAACAGCAAATTTGAATATTACTCAAGTGTAGAACATGATTTTCAAAAAATAATTTCAAAAGTTTATCTATCCTCCAAACATGATTTCAGTTCTAAATAAAATATATTCACGAGAAACCAAACAAACATTATTTTATTTCCTTCTAACACATTTAAATTTGATTTGACTGTTATCGGATTAAGCACTTTATCATATTTAATCATATAAGACAAGAAAGTAATTATGCAATTACACAAAAATGCAAATGCATGGTCAATTTCTGACCGGATGCATGTTGACTATAAAATAATAATTAATCCTTATAGAATCCAAGAGTATTATTCTGTCTCTCATGTTTTATATAAATCCACATGATTTTTTCTTTAAATAAATAAATAAATATTTATTGTGCTTAGTTTGTAACTTTGAATTTTTTGTCTTTTATCCCACCAAATAAAATAGAAGAAAGAATCACCTTTGAGGAGCAATTAACTATTATTCTTGCATTGTAGCCACCACCTTGTTACTCCTTTAATTCCTTTATTTAAAAAAATATATATTTTAATTTTTTTTTAATTTATCCATATTATACCAAAAGGGTTAATTTTAACAGATAAATAAAATTTCCACTTAAAATTGAAACTATTAATTGTATAATAATTTGTAGCCACGAATTTTTTGTCGAAAAAAAAAAAAACAAAAAATTCATAACAAATCTTGATATTCAACATTTGCATTATTAAGTGACACAAATATGTTATTATTTTTTACCAAGTTGGGTAGAAATCTTCCAAATTTTCATATAACAATTGCACTTTTTTAATGTATATTATTTAAATTATGAGGCCAAATGCAGAGCCCTTGGTCACAATTTTTTTACATTAAAAGCCAAAAGTAAAAAATAAATCAACTTTGGATTGGATTCAAAGTATGCTCCCTCTCAAGTTGGTTTAGTTTACAGTTTAAAACAAATTAAAAATTAAAATATAGATATAATATTGAATAAATTAATCATTGTCCATCAAAGAATATTATTTTAATTTCAGAATACAGATCCCCTTGCACAAAAGTGGATCCTAATTCTTCAATTTCTAGAATGTTTTTCTATGTACAAAAAAAAATATTAATTATTACTAATTATTAAAGGTTCAATAATTATTCTCTAATTTCATTTTTTTAGACAGGTACCATTTAGTTGCTTACTATGGTATGTAAGTCCATATCAAGAATAATGAATAATTTATAGGGTTTCTTGCAATTATTTTATGGGTTAACTGCAAAAAGGCCCCTAAACTTTGGAATTTTTTGCAGTTTACCCTTGAACGGAAAAAAGTTGCACGACCATACCTCAACTTACTAATTTGTAGCACGTGTGCAATTCAGGAAACAATTTGGCTAAAATTGGACGATTTTGACGTCGGTGCTACAAATAATAGAGTTCACTGTTCAGGTATACTTGTGCAACTTTTTCCGTTCAGATGATAAAATGCTAAAATTTCCAAAGTTTAGGAGATTTTTTGCAGTTAACCCTTATTTTATTGGCAAAAAAACTCCCATTTTTTTTTAACCCCTAAACCGGGGTATCGATTGCTAAAAATATTAAACTATAATGAATTTTTTGTTAATAAAATAATACGGAGTAATATTTTCGCAATTTGATATGATTCAGGAGTACTAATTAATTATAATAAAGTCTAATTTAAATCATCTTTTGAAATGAAAATTTGAATCTCTTAGATAAAAAAAATATCTTCTCCAAATGTGTGCAATATATTATTACTATATATATATGATGAAAATTGAAATGTCATCAATCATAGACAAAGAAGTCACCAACCTCGTCACAATTAATATTTTTTTGACAAGTAAACAAATAAATTTACTATGTATTGACAAGAAGTGGTGGTTGGAAATTAGATGAAAAAAATATTTAAACGTGCCTAGGAAGAGTTGCCCATATTACAAGAAGATATGTATTCCTTAGTACATTGATAAATGATCAAGATCCAATTCATTTTGCAAATTTTTTTCTCAAAGTAAATTCAATTGCAAAAAAATGTACTATATAAGTCTTGTATTACTAAGAAGGATAGAGTTCAAAATCTTGAAATATTGATCTTCTTACTACAATTGTAAATCATATACTACAGACGTAAATTATATTAGACTGTTTATGTGTGACAAAAGCTCATTAGTAACACGAATCGAACTTGAGTCACTTGATACAAACTCATTTTCTCTAATCGCCGGACTATCTTTTACGACGATAAATATCATCTCTTAAATTATGGAATAATGGGGTTATGGAGATAAGCTATAAGTGGTCCCCACATGGACTATATGTCAAAGAAAAATAAAGGGAAGAAAAAAAAAATTGTACTCCTATTCATGCATGCTTATACATTTGTAATACTTTATTCACAAAAATAAATTATAGAAAACATGATATGTATTAAAAAAAGAAATCTTCAACAAAAAGTCACATTTCTCCCAACAACATGCATATATATATATATATATATATATATATATATATATATATATATATATATATATATATATATATATATATATATATATATATATAT